TGTCTTTGGAATTGATTGTAGCCTAATTGGTTTCAATCTACAATTTTCAGATGGCTAATAAAGTGTCTTCTTTGAGATCTCACCAAACTTTGAATTCGACGACCTATGTGTAAACTTGGGTAAGGGTAAACTTAGTAAAGTTTTGTTAAGCTAAAAAAGCCTACAAAATTAAACAATTATTTACGAAGATGTAGGGAAAACACGTTTTTCCTCGACGCCCCGAAAACTATTTCAAAGTTTTTCATGGCACAAATATCAAAGCCGAACCCAGTTCGCGTTGCCTTCGGAACGATTGGGCTGGAATATCGTACATAAACAACTTACCTTAATCTATGGCCACCGATTAAAGAAAGTAATTTTTAAAAATAGAGATTTGAAAACCCATAAACTAGTTTTTTTTAATCGCTAATTTCGATAGCAGACAAAACACAGGCGGAGAAAACGTCTTCGGTGATCGGAACAATTACGATGAAATATGGGAGATATACATCTTACATTTATTTGTGGCCTCCGATTTAAGAAAATTAGCTTTTACACAGAGGCTAAGCGGAGCTTCGCACCACTTGCGATACAACACAATTATAAAAAATGAAAACAAAAAATGAAAAATGTTGAAAACAAGGTGAACTAAAATTTTAGTAAAACTCGATGAAGGACACCTGGGGCCCAACTAAAGCTGGCTATATAAGTTTGATAATTTTGAATTTGTTCAACTGATGCGGAACGAAATGCGAAATTTCAAAAATTGGACTATGCCTAAAACCTTGGTTGTTTCTCTACTAAATTAAATGAGATGAGTGACAATTTAGATTTGAGAGTTTTCCCACATATAAAATCTCCTACAAAAAAATTAGCCACTTCTGCAGGATAAATTCGCGCAACCGCTTCATTCGATTTAACTTTTTATCTCCGATTTGTTAGGATAGTTTATAAGAAAAACAAAAAGTTTCTACAAAAAACGGTCAAAGTTCAAAAACCCGAAATCCGTTACTTTTTCTGGTAAACGCAGTTTGTGGCCGGTAAAGTACAGAAGATTTCCGAAATCGGGTTTCTGGATTGAACACTTAACCTGAGAATCGGCATGATAATTTTTGAGTCATGTCACAAAACTTACAAAAAACTGCTGAATTTTCAAAACTCACTTAATTGAAGGCCATAAGTTTTTTCCCAAAAAAATTGAGCGTAACAAATAACAAAGGTAAGCTTCCGGCAACCCGTTGGGTCGATTAATGATAACAGCTTTGGCATTCTAGTGATCGATAAAATTCCAAACAAAACGGTCAAAAAATCAGATAAATGACATTTCCAAGAATCATAGCTTTTTGTTTCAGAACATCGGGTTTGGGAGGTTAGTTTTTGAGAAAAGCCAAAAAAAAAGAATACAAAATGCTCAAAAAAATAAAAAACTTCACTACTCCGAGGGCCATAATTTCATGTGTAAAAAAATTTGGACGGAGCCATATATGGATCAAATATTGATCAAATATTCCCCCCCGACTTTTTCGAAGGCTGTAGACAAATCGGTGTAGCAAAAAGACACCAGGGGAGTATGCAGACACACCATGGTTGAGGCGGCCTTCCTATGGATTTTCCTTCTTTGAAAATCGCTAAAAAGGATTTTTGAGAAAAACAAATATTTTTTTTGCAAAAAGGATAAAATTTTCCAAAGCGTCTCAAAAAACATAATAAAAAACATTTTTTTTCCTTGACGGGCTACTATAAATTTCTGTTCTAAATATGCCAAAAAGTTTTGAAACTCCAAACGACGCAAAAAAAAATCGAAACTCCAAACGACGCAATATGAAACGATTAAGCCAATATAACATAAAAGACACAACAAAATCAGAGTTAGAAAAGTACAGATAACCGAACGACTTTCAAGTATAGTAAAATTGCGTAAATCGGAAGAAAATTCTTTGCCTTGAAAACACGTCCGAAATAAGTATGAAGACAAATGATAAACCGGCCATTCCCAACTTCACAACAAAACCTTCAATTTTCATAGCAAATGAAAAAACCAAGTCCGACTAGGACTCGAGCCCTACATCTTAGGATCACAAGACACTCATTTTACCACTAGACCCAGTGGTAAAAAGCCTGAAAATTATTGAGGTTCAAAAAAAAGCAAGGTCAATTTCTGACCAATTTGAAAGAAAGGTTATTTAATGGAACAGTCAAGCTACAGATTGCAAGTAAACTTGCTCTCGCACGTGAAAGAAAATAAATCACTCAATACCATATTGTTATTGCTATTATCGCGCACACAAACCTTTCTGAGGTTTGAATGCTGTCCTAATTTGATGATCTGGAAAACATTTTCAGATTAAAAACATTTGAACACGCCCAAACAAAAAATTCCGTGCCAATTTCCTTGCCAAAACGCTTTAAATCTTTGCTTTATTTAACTACATGTTCAATCCATTTTTTGCCAATCACCTCTAAAAAGAAAGTATTTAAGAAATACATCAGAAATTTGCTGCTTTACAAGGTAGTGAATAAAAGAGAGGAATATCAAAAAGTTGTATCAAATTAGATTCATAAAAGGCTTTACAAAGCAATGGAAAACCTTTAAATGGATGCAACTAAGACATTAAAAATTGGGGCGACTCTCGCTGAGCCGAAAACAAAACTGTTGTCATAAAAAAATTTGAGAAGTTAAAGTTTAAATAACTGCTGTAACACACAAAAGCGCAAGACTATATATTGTCCTCGAAACTACGCAATATAAGTTGACTGAGCCAATATAACACGCCAAAACGGCAAATGAACGGACAAAACAAGGAAGAAAACTACGAGTCCGAAAAATACGAACTACAACTAAATACTACCTGACCTAAAATACGTTAACTTCATTTGAATTTTCAAGAAAATGGGCATGCTTGAAATTTACCATTCCGAATAAATTGAGGACTTAGTGAACAGAATTATTTGCAGAAAAAAGTCTACTACCAGGTTGCAACACCCTTATTGATCGCAATGAAGCATGATTTTCGCCAACCTATTTGGTAGTCTCAGAGCTATCTGTGGTCTAGAGAAGTATAAAAAAAGAGAAAAATGTACTTTGCAGGTAAAAAAAAACGGAAAAAGAAATCAAAAATGGCTCTAAAAGCCGAAAACAAACTTGACAATACAGAAAATTACTTATGATAAAATTACGTCAAAAGTAAATATAGCCAACAGAGAGTGATTGAAACATCTATGCTGTCAAAGCGTCAGTATTAAGTATCAAAGAAAAAATGTTGTCAAAGAGTCATTATTATATTTATTTTAAATTAAAACATCTTGCGAGTTTCAAAGAAGAAAAACAAAAAAACTCCTCACAACATATAAATCTTTGAATTTCCGTAATCTTTCATGATTGAGACTTTTCTTTTGATTTCAGCCAAATTCAGAAAACTGCAATATTATGTACTTTTCATTTTGCTGCGATTTTTCGCAACGTTAACTTCTTCGACTTCAATTTTTTTCGCGCCATTTGAACTAATGTTCTCGGCGAGCTCGAACTGCTTTCCATTTGGTAAATGAATTGAACAAATAATTTTGTTTGGAATTTACTTGAAAAAAATCACGTTTTGAATATTCACTTCCTTCATTGTCATTTAACAAGAAACTAAAAATTATTAAAAAAAACTACTATAAAAAAATTAGCCCAGTAAGGGAACTATTCTGACCTATTAACTTGCCTCAGTTGAAATAATAATGTTTATTTGAGCACTTTGAAATGTGTATTAAATCGCCACAATCAACTAAGTCGCTGTTTAGGTCAGATAAATAAATCGGGCATAATTTTATCCAGCAAACAAACATACTGCCAATTTTCAAGTCTCCAAAAATTTACCGCAAATCTTGTTTCACATTTGAGTGCAGGACGACAGTATATTTTCAACTGGAGGCAAAAAGGAGCTTCGCGCCACTTTCAATACCACATAAAACAGCTTTGCAAGCTAGCAGACAGGAAAGGAGAGTTATAAAACCTAAGAAATTGAAAAAATTCTGAAAAAATCACAAAAAAAACTCAATAAATTCAACTTGTGAAATGAGAATTAATACAAACTAGTCAACGCTTTACGCTTTGTTACAGCATCTACTTTGCTCCTTGAGAGCTCTTCTAAATTGAAAGCCGTATGAAAAATGGATATACCCAACCCAAAAGATAGCCTCCTGGTTCATTTGCCATGATTTGTCAGACTCCGCCAAGAAGATTTGTCACGACTAGATTTGCTGAAATTATTCAGCAATAAGACAGATTTAGCGAGCCCAATTAGGATTTAAACGCAGAGGCGAATCTGCGCTTTGCAAACACTTGCGAGAACACGACCAAAAAGCAGCTTTATCAATTGAAATAAGAAAAAGTAGAAATAAGCCTCGTATTAGAAAAAACTCGTCTACGTTTAGGATTCGAATCTGCGGCCTACTGCAATCAAAAGATTTTGAGCCTCACGCACTATCCACTCAGCCGCGCAAGCTTAACAACCGAAAAACACTAGTCGATAAAATGCCAAAGCAGTTCAGCAAAAGTGGCACCAAATATAAATAGACTCAATTTTGCAAGTAATAAATTGGAAAATAACAAACTGAAGGCATACACACTAACTTTGCATGTAACAAATCGCAAATCATAAAACCACATTATGTAAAATTATGCATTTAAAAAAATTGCGAGATATATTGAAGAAGAAAACTTCTAAAACCGGGTTTTCATTATTGTTATGTTGTTTGGAACAAATCGTTTTTTTTTTCGTTTCATTTGGTGAATCAAAAATGCATCAACTGTATTAACGAGTTACTATTCGAATGTCAAAGCACATGCTATGAAAAAGCTGTAAAGGTGCCCCAAAAGTGGCACCAATATTTGCGACTTAGGTTGGAAAAAAAGATGGTTCGTACTAATACACTTGCTTCACAGGTGCAAAAAATCAAACTAAAGGAAAAAACTTCGCAAAGATGCACGCTCTATGTTCCTTATGAAATCGCAGTCGAAGTTCAGAGGTTAAAACTGCTTGTGATTATTTGTTAAAATACCAATACTCCAGTTAAAAAGCATTTAATGCAAATAAATTTCCACGATAAGTTATCAAATCTAACAAATAAACTAATACAATATCACACATTGAAAAGAAACTACAAAATGTGGCCGAAGATTTGGCGTCAAAATAGAACTCTAGTAAGTAACGAATTTAGGCAATTATAGACAAAGCAGTAAAAGTAGCTTGAACTTTGTTCACAGCGGTTTAAAGCCCTGATGAGAGAAAAGATAGAAAATATTTGATGACACATCGTTCCTAACTGATTGAAAGTGAGTTCCTTCTGTCTTTAGTTTCCTTATTTTTCACAGTTTCTTCGCCTTTTTCGATCTAACAATTTTTTCTCCGGCGCTCTAAGGTCGTATGCTGAATTCTCCGTACTTTCGTTGCCATTTTGTCCCGTCCAAAGGAGTAGCACTAATGAGATACCTTCTAGCCGGTTTCACCACTTCCGCTCTTGGAGGAACCCCTTTGTATACCAGATAGGCGAGATACAAACAGATAGTTGTGATTATAACCGAGTAGACGAATGTCAACCAGAACGCTATTTTCCATGGTTTTGCTGTTTCGTCCCTTATAGGGTAACAATCAGTTTCAAACGAAAACGAAGCAAGACCCTGACTGTACAAATCTTTGTATTTGCTTTCTACCGTGACAGAATACTGGTTACCAGGCACTAAATTATCCAAAAACAGCACCATTTCGTCTATTTCCAAATTTTCAATTTCATAATTATCATCATCGCCCTCGACATTTACACGAAATGACTCATAATTCGGTTGGACAGACCACAAAAGTGTTGCGTGATCATTTGCCAGATCCTCAGTAAGTATGTTGAAAGGAACTGCTGGATACGTGTAACCAGTTGCAGTCGCTGGTTCGCTTTCGATTCCAGTGTAGCTCACTACAACTTCATAAGTATAGTCAGTTCCAGGTTGGAGTCCCGAATCTGAAAATCCTGTAGCAGCGATTTGCGTCGATTCTCCTGGATCCGAGACGCCTGTTTCGTTACTAGTTGGGAGTCTTGTGATTACAAATCTGATTCTTGAACTTGGCGACACGTAGATCCACGTAATATTCAGTTCTGTATCCGAAACAGGGATGATGATAGGATTGACTACAGGCGAAGGTGATGTGTTCACGATGGCTGTAGCTGACTCCAAGTTTTTCAGGTTGGAGCTGAAAGCGTCTAGAGTGACCATGTATTCTTCAGAAGAAGAGAGACCCACTATTGTGAAGGATCTATCGGAACCGACCAGTGATTCAACTTGCGGTTGACCTGAAGAGCTGTTGACCTGAAATGAAGCATTGAACATATACTTTGAGAACAGAAAAAAATAACTCATTTTCAACATTAAAAACCTGTCCGAAATTTGTATGTACTACATTCACGATTCATTGAAGTTGCAACTTTTTGATTTCAACGAGCAACTGAACGAATTTTTTCTTCACGTTTTTGTAGTTTTCTCTGCAGTTCTTTAAGATAGAGTTCAAATTTTGACACATGCTAGATTAAACTATTTGGAAGGACTTAGCCGGGCCAAAATTTGAGAAATCTTGTTTCGAAGGCGTAAATTAGCCAGTATCTTAAAGCTAGTGTTAGAGGTTTTCTTGCTGTGTTTGAAACATCCTCGCAAACAATATAAGGAATTTGAATTATTGGGCTTAAATCACTACTTTGGGAAGCTGATGAGCTTGACTTACACCCTATGCCTCCAGATAACCACAAATAACAGAACTGAAAGAATCACTTGGCCCGGCGTCGAAAAACGGCATATATTTACGACTAATTTTGCGCTGAGGATCAAAATAGGTCAACAAAAATAACTATTCCAGCAAATATTACGGAAAAACTAGACCTCCAATCCGTGCAAGGATTCTCAGTAGCAGTTATGGTATGTATAACTTTTTTCCAACTTTCTAGTACAAGCTCCAAAGAAAATGTGTCGTCAAAAGAGATTCGACAGTTTTTCGACGCCGGGCCAAGTAACTCTTTCAATTCTGTTACTTATCGTTAACTGGCGACATAGTGTGTTTTCCGTCATCAGCTTTCCAAAGAACTAATTTGAGCCCATTAATTCAAATTCCTTATATTGTTTGCGAGGATGTTTCCAAAGCAAGAACACCTCTAACACTAGTTTTGAGATACTGGCTAATTTATGCCTGCGAAACAAGATTTCCCACAAGGACCGGCTAAGTCCTTCCAAATAGTTTATTCTAGCATGTGTCAAAATTTGAACATCTATTACAATATCACGTTTCACGCAATTACAAACACTTTTTTGCGCAGTTATAAACACTTTTATAAACACTTTCATGTCGCAGTTTAAAAATAAAGAAGAGAATTACCTTATTTTCGGCGTTATTTTACTTTGTAATTTTTTCTATGCAAAAAATGTGCCAAAAAAATAAACGTTATCCCAATTTTTCATTTCGACATTTAGCACCATAAATTGACAATTTTAAACAAAATCGAATCAAAATTGAAATGAAAGCTTGTTTTTGCTAAACTCACAGCGGTCGGAACCTTCTGTGTTACTCTTCAGATTGGGAGGCAAGGAGCAGAACGAGCGCCCCACAATGACACTTAAGAGCACTTAGAGCTTTATAAGAGGTATGCGAGTAAAAGAGGATCATTTTGCAAGTTACCCGGAGTGAGTAGCTGGAAGCAGTGCCCTGCTGTGTCCACACGAGAACCACTGTAGTCTCGGTGGCAGAGAACTGTCCGAAGAGAGGAGTGGCAGGGTACAGTCTGTGAGAAGCCACTCCGAATGACTCACTTTGCACCTAAATTACATTATACTCAAAACTAGTAGATCTGTTTTTAAATTCTTAGACCGACATTAGGAAGAAGGAACAGGCATATTATATGCTAGATTTCCGTCTTAGTTCAATCAGTCGAAATATATACAGATTTATGCTATCACCATATCATCGAAATATATACGGCAATGCTTGCCACAAGATTTCAAAACTTCTGCAGAGCAACAAAACTATGATGACTATCATTAGGTAGTAGAGGCACTATGTGGTCTTATCGTTGATACTCCCAAAAATGTGGAATTGTTACTCAAAGATGCGTTAAAGATGAAAGAAATCCACAATCTTGAACGTATAACAGAAATGACCCGCAGTATGAACTGACCTCGTTGCTGAGGGACCACACTCTCACTCTGCACACTGATCCAGGGGTCAATCCGTCCCAGGTTCTTTCCAGTGTTATCATACTCGCCGGCGCCATCAATAAAGAATCCCTGCACCCGTCCAATGCCACAACAAATCCATCATACAGGCCAGACTGCATAGACCAATTAGCCGTAAGGTCCGTTGTGCCGAAGTAAGCGATAGACACTTGCGGTACCACAGGGTACAATGTAAAATCAGCCGTCAAAGGAGCGCTCTCGAGAGTACCCGAAATAGCTATTACTCTACATGAATAAAACTGCCCCGCTTCTAGTCCTGTAAACTGTTGCTCATCAACTGGTAGATCAACTTGCCTTTCCTCAATAACATTGCCATTTATGTCCAGAATGGAGACCTTGTAGGAAGTGACTACTCCAGTTGGAGTCCAGGAACATACTACACTTTGGGTATCTTTGTCGGGTATCGCGATCGATTCCAGTTCAGGAGACTTCTGAGCAGTTAGGACTCCAGGAACTACACTCAATTTTCCACCCGATCGGGCTACAATTTCGAATCTGTATTCTGCTCCTTGAGTTAAATTATTAACCACGTGTGTCGTCAAGCGAGTTATGTTGAAAGTTTTCTCAGTGTATGTATCCGAGCTGGTCAATGGAGTTACCGTTAGGACATATCCGTCAACGTCTCCTGTTGGTACACCCCATATTAATTCACAGGACGTTGTGGAGAGAACACTTACAGAAGTGAAGTCAACATTACTAGGAACGAATGTATACTCGATTGTAGACGAATTCGAACTTGCCAAATCGTTGCTTACCGAATATATTTCGAAAGTGTAAGCTCGTCCTGGAGTGTATACATTAGAGTTGTTTATATCCAGCTCTAGATTTTCAGAAGAAACAATTGTCTGTTCCGGTAGTTCGCTTCCTTCCGAGTCCGAAATTTTCACGGTATACGACTCCACAATCCCCTCAGGCGGCGACCACGTGACAACCAGGTCCTCGATTTGTAAATTTATGGGAGGCAGAGGAAACGTTGCTTCGGTCACAATATTACTCCAGTCGCTTACAACTAGACTTTCATTGACTGAACTTCTAATTCGGAAATCGTACTTTTGGCCTGGCATCAAGCTATTGACTAATTCTGCAAACTTGACGGTAGAAACTTCCCGTAAATTGTTTTGAAACTGATCTGTCTCGCTGAAATGAGCTAACTGCAATATAAAAAGCTCACTCAAAGCGTTTTCGAATTCGACGAAGCTCCAGGTTAGATTGACCGAGTTCGTCGTGCGGGATCCATCGACGTAACGAAGTGTTGGTGTTAAAGGCGGAATGTAAAAATCGCCAGTCGCAATTTGCTGACTTTGCAGATCTCGATAGACAGCAACTGCGCTGTACGAAACGTGCATTCCAGGGACGAACCATGCCACGTTATTCTGAGAAATAGTCTCCGAAAACCGTCTAGTTAGAGACTGAGTAGTAAATTGAAGTGATTCAGTCGCAGGTTCAACTCCATCTGCGTATGGAATACTTGTTAAATTGAACACAAACGAAGAATGGCCTCCTTCCGGCAAGGTCCAGTCCAGATTGACCTCGACCGAGCCATCTTGGGAAGACACTGGTTTGAATGTCTCAAAGACGATGTCATCGGGGTACGGCCAACCGATCTCAGACTGGTTTTCACTTCGGATAACATTCGTGGCATTTGCAACATAAGTTAGAACTGAAAAGGTGTAGTCCGTTCCAGGAATTAGGCCTCCAATTTGAGTAAAAGTTGTTTGTGTGGGACTTACAAACCCGCTGCTGCTGAAAACATCAAACCCGTCGAAACTTCCTTCATCTATCGCCATGCTCCACGTGAAATTCACTGAATTTTTATCCAATGGTATCACTACAAGACTGTTTGGCGGCACGGGCATCAGAAGCTGCTGAATTACGTCGCATTGCAAAGAGCTCAAAGACTCATCGAAAAGACTGTAAACACAAAGCTCTAGTTGGTATTGACTTCCCGGAACTAGGTCTGCAAAGCTGGACTCAAGCGTATTTTCGTCTTCGATCCTCTGGGTCAATTCTGGCGAACTACCATCGAGCTTAGTCAAGATCAGATTATAACCGCCTACGAGGCCTTGAGGCAGCTCCCAAGATACGCTCAAGTCGGTTTCAGAGAATCCAGTGACAGTAAATCCTACTGGATCCGCCGGGTGCAGATTAACCACGCTTTCTAAGGCTGTTTCACTTCTTTCATCGACAGAAAACGTGTATATCTTAACATTGATTTGGTCTCCAAAAATTGACGTTGAAAGAGTTTTGATGAACTTAGTTTCATCGGATGCGAGAATTGTTTTGTTGACGAGAACTGTTCCGTCCGAGCTTACAGCTTCGAAGCTGAAACTAGTGTACTGGCCTTCACTCGGAGGAAGAAACGAAACCTCGGTATTATTGTTTCCTCGATTCTCCACAATAAAATTCCTCGGTGGATTTGGTTTCAGACGCTGGGATACAGTAACCACTGACGAGTTCTGAGAAGAGTCCGAACCTTCGGAGAAGCTCATTATTTCGAGAACTTGCATAGCTCCAGGCACCAAACCCGTTTCCTCTAGCTCAAACTCATCTACTTCTTGCCTGGAAGCATCGTTGGTTGAAACATAGAAACCGGTATAAATTCCACCTGTTGGTTGATTCCAGGTAGCGACCAGAGAATTCGAAGTGTAGCTCTCAATCAAAACATCCGAAGGAGGTAAAGGAATCAGAGTTTGGGTGACATTCGCTGCGATAGGGGTATCCAAACTAAGCAAAATATTACCGTCGTGATCAGTCACTGCTGATCTAACTAAGTAGTTATAAGTATCTCCTGGAATTAGATTCTCATACTTAACTTCCTGATTAGTACCATTTACAGTGTAGTCTCGATTATCGTTTCTCTTATCCGATGTTTGGTAGACATAATATTCATCAGCACATTCTGATAAACTCCAACTCAAGTCAATAGTGCTAGTTGTAAAATCAGCAACTTGCAAGTCTGCAGGTGCAACTGGTCGAGTTGTGAAAGTTATGTTTGTCGCTGAGCTGGTTTTGTCGTATGATTGCACAATTATTTGCAAGCTATAGTTAGATCCGCAATTCAGATCAGATATGGAAGCATCTAGTTGATCAGTAGGGAAATCTTGAACCACTGCTCCGGCACTGTCGAAGCACGTGACTAAGAAGGAATCGGATCTTCCGACGTTGTGTTGCCATGAGAAATCAACAGACTCATGGTCCGCTGAAACAGAAGTGAAATCGACAGGATGAGGAATTGTGGACTCCGTTAAACTGATCTCAGTACTTCTCTCGTCTTCGACCATGTTGTACACAAAGAACTCGTACCGGAACCCGGGCTCTAAATTTTGTAGATTGTACTCTTGGTCTGTTGTTGAAGCAGCTTCATCTACTTGGTTGTCTCTATACACCATCCAGTTATCAGAAGCTCCAGGTTGATCCCAAGTGAATTCGATTGAAGTTTCAGTGAACTGATTGGCTGCCAAGTTTTCCGGTGGGTTCGGCACAGTTAGAAATGTGAAATTGAACGGCTCCTGGCTCAGAAGCCCGGTCATTCCTTCAAGGTAGATACTTGCGCTATATCTCACACCTCCTGATAGATTAGTGACATTTATGAACCTCAGATTACCATTGGCTTCTGGCGCTATGGTATATTTCTGACCGCCGACTTCAATTATGACGAACGACGCAGTCTCCTCGAAATCATAGTTGATAACCGCTGACGTCATCATGACGTCACTCGCAGAACCAGTCGGATTTTCTGGATACGTCACTTGTGTCACATTATCTGGCGAGCTTCTAAACGTACCTTTTTCCGCGGTAACTGAAAAGGTGTACTCTGTATTAGGAACCAGAGAACTAAAAACGAAACTGAAAACGTCCGGTGCTATGTTTGAAAGGTCGGTCGAGGTAGAATATTCAGGGTCATCGATGGTCAGTATGAAGCGAGTTGGGTCATCGTCTACAGTCCAAGATACGTTAATCTCAGTCGCGGAAAGAGACTCAGCAGATATTTCTGGAACTGCAACTGAACATTCTCTACTGGCTAGACTATGGCACTGCCTGGTCCTCTCGTCAAAACCCTCGCCCATTGGACACGCTTCCATAGTCTGAAATCATAAAATTAGTTGATTTATAAGGTATTTTCCGGTCTGAAAACATTGAAATAAATGAATTAAAGGTACTAGCTACCAATAAAGCAGCTACAGATGCTATTGAAAGCGGCTCGCGAAAACAATAGGTCTGAGCAAGCGATTCAATTCAAGCAATCTTGAATTGTTTGGAAAAATTTTAGGAATTGTTTGGAAAAATAAATCAAGTTATTTTATCGTCAATCGTTTGGCCGAAAAACTGTTTTGTTGAGGAAGTCAATCAAGCATTGATAATTTTTAGTTTATTAAATTTACTTCACAGTCAATCTATATGCATAAAATTGAAGGATTTATCAGCTACCCATGGAAATTGGAATGTTTTGAAATTAATACATATTGTAAATCAATAGGCAAAACGTTAGATAGCTTTTCTAAATTTGAAACTTTCAAAAAAATTTGCAGTATATTATGCCGTAAATCGATTATCAAAAACTGACAATTGTCTGAGCGAGGTATTAAAGAGAAAATCCTTGAACTTTTTGAAATTAATTGAAGGCGTGAAGCGGTTCATAAAAGTTTTTCTTAGTAGGTTATTTGAGTACTGAAAATCAAATTTTTAAAGATACTTCATTATATGAATTGGGTCGCAAAAAGATGAAGTTTCTCTAAGCGATAAGAATGTTCAACAAATATTGTTCAAAAGATAGTTTATTTACTTGAAAATTTTTTATCGAGGGATTTTAGAGAAAAAAGTCAATTGTTTTTTAAAAAATCAATACCGCAAATCGATTTGCTCTAAATTAAATTTTTCTCGGCAAGCTATTCGAGCAATGCGACTACATATATTTCAAGTTAGTTCATAGCGTGAACTACTAAGCAAAACAAAAATTTTCCTAAGCCCGCTATTCAAAAAGCGATGAAACTAATAAAATCAAACGACAGCACTTTGAAATATGTCATGTAATCTCGCAGAGCAAATCGTTTCACAAGTTATTTCGCAAAGCACATCTGCTGACATAAAGTTAAGGTGTATTTAAGCAAGCTGAACAATTTCAAGTTAATTCTGGAGCGAATCGGTTCGCCAAAAGCTTACGTTATGTTAACCAAGCTATTGAACCGTTTGCACTTTGAAATAAGTGAAATTAATGCGCAGAGCAAATTGTTTAACTTAAAGCAAGTTATTCAACCGATGACACTTTAAAATAATTCAAGTTAATTCATAAAGCGAACTAATTTGCGAAAGAATTAACCTGTTTTGAGCAAGCTAATAAAGCGATGAAAGAACAATCAAATAATCTCAATTGATTCCAGGGTAAATCGGTTTTAAGCAGGGTGACCACTTTTTTGAAAGAAAAATAGTGACTATGACAATTTTTGGAATTTTTTGTCGATCTTTTTTTTTAGGTCGACCAAATTAATTTTTCAATTCCCTGTTTTGGCCATAATTTCTGCGCCGTAGGCATAATTTTGAATAAACAGGCTGAAAAAGTCGTTTTAGGCCTTTTATGAAAAATTTTGAAAAAAAATTGCGTTTTTTCGGCGCGCGCTCCCCCTCAATATTAGTACATATTGGCGCCCAAGGTATATATTGGCGCCCAAGGCGCTTTTAGAAAAACTTTAGGGTCCGTCACCAAAAACCGTTGTAAATAGTGACTTTTAGTGGCCATTGAAAAAATAGTGACCAATAGTGACTGGTCACTAAAATAGTGACCAAGTGGTCACCCTGGCTTTGAGAAAGCTCAAAGCAAGCCATGGTGAATTTTCGAAATTTTTTCAAGTTAACTCATCGAGTGAATCGGTTCGCGATACGTTCAAACTATTTTGCGCAAGCTAATCAATCTATTGCAAACAAATTAAATTGTTTATGTTAATTTATAGAGCAAATCAGTTTGCACAATGTTCAATATATTTAAGCAAGCTTTCAATCAGTGGCATTTTGAAAATTTTCAAGTTGTTTCTGGAGCCAATCAGATCGCCAAAAGCTAACTTAATTTTAAGCAAGCTATTCATCGATTGCTCTTTAAGATATAGGAAGTTAATACGCAGAGCAAATCGGTTCAGAAAAAGCAAACTATTCAACTGAGGGTATTTTGAAATAATTCAAGTTAATTCATAAAGCGAACTGATTCGCGAAAAATCTAACTTGTTTTGAGCAAGCCAATGAAGCGTTTATCAGCAAGCCATGAAAATTGGGAGTTAATAGATCGCAATTCAATTGGCAAAACTTGGAACAGTTTTTCAAAACTTGAATCTTTTGAAATATTTCAAGTTATGTTATGGCACGAATCGATTCGCAAACACTGACGATTGTCTGAGCGAGATGTTCAATCGGTTCGAGAGAAGCTTACGATGTTTTGAGCAATATATTTAAACGATTGCACTGTGAAACAAGTCAAGTTGTTTTGCAGAGCATAACAGTTCTTAAAAAATTAAATTTTATTTGAGCAAACTAAACAACCGATGGCATTTTGAAATATTTCAAGATATTTCATGAGCGAACCGAATCGCGAAAAATTTAACCCGTTTTGAGCAAGCAATTCAAGAGATGAAAAGTCGAAATTTTCAAAAGATTCCAGAGCAAATCGGCTTTAGGAAAGCTCTAAATTTTCAAAAAAAAAGCCATTCGAGAGCTGAAACTTCGAAATATTTCCTAGATCGCATCGGTTCGCAAAAATTATGGTTTATTTTGATCAAGCTGATGAAAATTTAAAATGATTCATGTAATATCATTGAGCGGAAGGGTTCGCGATAAAGTAAACTTGATTTAGGCAGGCTATTGAAGCGATGCAACTTCGAAATAATTCAATTTATTTCGAAGCAAATCAGTTTTCAGAAAACTTAAATTATTGAAAGCAAGCCATGGTGAGTTTTTGAAATATTTCTAAGTTAATTCGTTTATCCAAGTTAAACCAAGTCATTTCCCGACTTTTTTCGTAGACAGAAACGTCCGCAAAAAAACTGGTTTATTTTGATTAAGTTATTCAAGCGAGGCAACTTTTGATATTTCAATTTAATTCTGGAGCGAATCACAAAATGTTAATATTATTTCATGCCAACTATTCAGTCCATGGAACTTTGATAACTTCAAGTTATTTCAAAGAGCGAATCGGCTCGCTAAAATTTAAGTTTATGTGAACCAGCTGTTCTAGCGATGAGGTTTGAAAAATTTCAAATTGTTTCAGAGCGAATGGGCTCGCAAAAAAAATCAAGATTAATTAAACTAGCTATTCAACCGATGGCATTTCGAAATACTTCAAGTTATTTCTGGAGCGAATCTGTTATTTTAAGCAAGCTATTCACTCAATTGCACATTGCAATATTTCAAGTGATTTCATAGAGTGAATCAGTTCGCAAAAAATTTAAGTTCTTTTAAGCAAACTTTTGCATCGATGAAACTTCTGAACTTTTTTCATGGAGCAAATCGGGTCGCAAAAAGCTAAGTTTTCTAACCAAGGAGGTCGTTGTTTTTAGTTAGTACGTTTTAGGATGAATCTCCAAAGGTAAAATATTGAAAAAAAAGTGGACAGGTACTTTCTAGTCTTGAATATGAATCCAGTTCATCTGGTCTAAAGAGTTGATTTTTTTAAAAAGAGTTCGAGAACACTCCAAGACTATGATGTTTGAAAATTGTAGACAATTTCTGCCTTAATACCTCTTGAACATTTGCCCGAATATTTCTTAAACATTCCGATCCAAGCCTTTTTAAACGTTGTGCTCGATAGAAAGTTGAAACATTGCGTTCATAGCGCAATCAGACTTTCATTTGACATATAAAACTTAACATTGCTTAAAATGAAAAAAAAAACAGCCAACTGAACAGGAGACGCTTGACCTGGTTAAATATTAGCAGAATGAGGGCTACAACAGATAGAAATCGCATCTAAAAAAGTCTAAGCTTCCGTCGGTGAAAATGTCCAGCAAAAGGCAAATCCAATAAAAATTGTCGGAAAAAACTTTGCCATATAGCAAGTAAAAAAACAATTAACAAATTATTTAAAATACACCAGCAATTCAATTGCAGTACCAGTTCCAATAGTGAAAAGATATCACAAAGATAGTTAGCTCAACTGGTTTGACTATTCTTTCTGTTACACGGAAAGGCTTACACGGAAGTCAAGAAATACAGTTCATTTGTCCAATATCAAACAAAAATCATAGATAAAACGAATCACATGTTATGATACGGACGGGATAGAAGAAAGGCATTTTGTAAGCATATTAGGGATCAACCCGAAACACAAAACGTTCTATTATTGAAACAAGTATGACTAACATTATTTACACGTCTATTGAAGCATTTATGATTGTCTTGTAGTATAGGAAAATGTCTTCTCCGTATAGAAAATTTTGGGGGATTATTAGGTTGCCTTTGATTAACTGAACGCAAGCAAAATTTGAGCAAATCATTGACATAAAGCTAATGTACGGTTAAAATTTTATTATCAAAGAATAATGGAGTGATACTTTCGAATTTTGTCTTGGAAAATATCATACATAGAATTTTTTATGCAGCATCAGAATTGGTGCTAGCATCTAGAAACTTGATTAACCATAAAATAAAAAATCATGTTGGATTACTTGTTTAAAATTTGATTGATAATATTTCGAAAGAATGGTCTTCAGTACGAATTTTCGTATTCTGGAAATTATACACAAAGCATTAACATCGGAATTTTGGTCTAGAAACCATCATCATCATCATTGAGTTTATTTTCAACTCCTTTAGAATCTAAGATGATACGACTAGCCTTGAACTAAGCCTATTGCTGGTTTTCATCCTTGATCTAGGCCTGTCGTAGAAGAAAACTGGCTAATACACCAGGTGTTGAAACGTGACTTCCGTGTTCTACACTTAATAAATGTGAAGCGAAATTTATGAGGACAAAAATTGCCACTAAATTTAGTAGGGGGGACATGCAACATCGATTTCCGCTCAACGAGCTAATGTTCAAGAGATCTAACCTGAATATTCTCATTCAAACAGTCTGTGTACCTCTGCCAACAAACGTTCTCTTCGAACGTCCCGTAGAACACAACAGCATGGAGTCCATCCGACATCCCCACACACGTATCAACCACTGGTAGCCGCGAGTCATCTGGAAACGCGAACATGCCCGGGTGCTGACATATATAATCGTAAGCGTACGAGGTGTCTGTGACGTCTCGCAGTCGGAAGCCAGTGCATCCGTAGAGGTCAGCATTGCTACTGGGGGCAAGTGAGTTGAAGTCACATGACTGCTGGTCAGAGCAATCTTCTTGTAAATAAAGCCAGTCCACGCCTGTTAAGCAAGCTAAGTTATTCAACAAACGAAGAGCTGTTTTCCTAGTCTGGAACAAGCATATAAATCTTAACTTGAAAACTCGATGACCAAATATGTCATATGGTTGCGGCGTTACGCTGAAATTTTCTCTGTCTGAGACTATTAAATTCGTCGAAAAATGGGTTATGCGTTAATATTCCGCCCATTCTCGAATAGTTAGAACTATGGCCTAAAATGATGTCTTCTTTGAAGTTGAAAAATCAAGTAATCAAGGAAAATTTGCCCGTAACAGATTGATGTCACTATGATGTCCTTTAGGTCTGAGTCGGCTTGCAAAAGTATATTTCGAAAAACTTCTCTCAATGTCGAGACAAACTTTCCAAATTTTTCAGCTTTTCAGACTTATCTACGCAGAGGAAAAGAAAAGAGACTGAACCCCCAATCTAAATCTAACTGTAGTTTAAAGATTTTTTGCTGCAACCTCATTTTTGCAGCTTATTCACTAATTCAAACCCCTCCCACAAACTAATTACTAGAATTTTTGAAAAATCTTGAAAAAAAATTAGATTTTTGAAATTGTTTGCTTAGATTACTAGGGTCGCATCATTCTGTGCTACTTGCACAACAACTGGCTATTTGATTATTTAGTTAAATATTTTAGGAGGTTGAGATACTTAGCTACCAGAATTTTTTTGTTTAATACTCAAATTGATATATAAAGACGCATGCAAAAGAATACAAAATAGCATGGCGAATTACTCGACAGAAATTGAGATAGAAGCCACAAGTTCTAAGAAAAAAAAATTAAAAAAATTCCATCAAAATGTTCGTATGTTTACCTCAACTTGTCTTGAATAACGTTCATTTTGAGAAAAACAAGCCAGATAAGGGACCAAGTTAACTATGCCTTAAAGTTAAGGGCATTGTTAACTTGCTTTAAAAACGCGTTAAAGTTAAGGGACCAAGTTAACAGTGCTGATTTAAAATTGATACATTCTAATTTTCATTTAGTGTATTTAACCTCAGTGACCACAATAAAACGCAAATTCAGGTTTTTCCTCTCTAAAGCGCCTAATTTTCAGGACTATTTTAGACGCCATTTAGAAAAAAGTACCAAGTTTTTTTTACATCGACCGATTGCAAATGATCTGAACTACCCTCTCTGGAAGTCTCAATTTTTAATTTGAAGAACTTGCCAGTTTCGCCGGGTCTGAAAATGCCCGCTTTCATCATTTGTAAAAGCTTCTCTATGGGCGTGAACTTTTATTCGAATAAGCGGTAGAGACAAATTTGATCATGCGATTTCAAACATTTTGAACGAGAAACCTGCGTTGTTCAGTGTGATAACTTTCCTCAACTCTGTTGTTTTCTATAAAGTCACACCTTCAAAAAAAACTTATTACAAGTGGTGGCAACTGGTACTTTCAGACCCGGAAAAGACTGTTAAGTGATTCAAATCAAAAATTGAGAAATTCAGAGATGATAGTTTAGATCATTTGCAGCCGGTCGATGTAAAAGTTTCGGTAAGTTTGTCGAAAATGGTCTTTGAAGTTACATTTTAAAACACTGTTAAATGGTAAATTTGCTGTCAATTTTGTCCACTAGTGTATGAAATTGAATTCTACTGCTAAATGCTGAAATTTATGGTAGTTCGGTATGTTTTGTTGCTTTCCGATAGTTAGGGTTTACTTGCGTACACTAGTGGACAAAGTTACGCGCAAATTCAAGACTTTCTCTCTAAAATGCCTGTTTTCGATGTCCACTTTGGACAAAATTTACTTCAAAACTCAGTTAAAACTCTACATTGACCGAGAGCAAATGATCAGTGCTTCCCTCTTTGAAACTAGCAATATTTAGTTTCAATAACTTACAAATGTAATCCGGGTCTGAAAATGCGAGTTTTCTTCATCTGCGCTAAGTTTTTCACTTCGCGTGGAAAAGTAAGAAACCACCGAGTTTGGTTAAGTTTTTTACACTGATTATTTCAATTTTCTCGCTAAGAATGTTTCACGTCGCATGAACAACTGATTTATTCCGCTAATTCAATAAAGAATTCAATACGATGCAAAACTTAGCGTAGAAGAAGAAAACTGGCTTTTTGAGACCCGATTACATTGGTTAGTTATTGAATACTCTTGAAAATTTCATAGAGGGTAGCCCTGATCATTTGCTCTCGGTCAATGCAAAAATTTTACTGAATTTCGAAGAAAAGGCTGTTTAAAAGGGACATCGAATAGCGGTATTTAAAAGAGTAAAATTTTGAATTTGCGCTTAATTGTGTCCCCTAGTGTATAAACCGAAAACAGCAAGCTACCCGCAACCGATCTACGTCAAGACCGTGACGAGGCAGAAATACTAAAGGTATCTGCACTTAAATTCGCCCAAATATAACGTACAAGTTAAACGCATAATAAAACTCTTCGTAGTAGCTTCGGTGAAATAAAACGATTTTAAAAGCTTCACCGGGAATAAACATACCGCTGTTGGCGTCCAGATTACATCTAACTGAGCTTCGATCGCTGCAGTTGATTGCAAGGTAGTTGAACTCGGCGAAGAGGATGTTGAGATTATTGAAACTCTCCTGGCAACCGAATAGGTCATCTTGTGTGATGTCTCCACATCCAGCGATTCTCTTTATTTCACCTTAAAATGGTAAATGAAGTCATTGATGAGGAATAAAACTTACAAACGACATCTGCTTTAACGAGGCAACGACTTAATTAAATTAGTTTAGATTCTAGGTGAAGCTTTCTGAACCACATTGTATCCTTTTTTTTTTTAAATTGCCGGCTGGCCTCACAAAATTTTCCTAGTCCTTCAGTCGAGCAACGAATAACGTAAGCAGATCTAGGATCATGGCAAGCCTCTTAAGATTAGTATCTTTCTAGCCAGTTCGTTTCCACTCCCCTTTAAGTTTCCTCCATTAGTTTGAAATCAGTTAGCTCACAAAAACTGTTAATCACTTGCAATGGGTCAGAGTTACCCTAAAATAGGTTTAAAAGAGTCAACCTCCATTGTCGGAAATGAGGCTTGCGTCGAAGCAGAAGTAGCGTATGCGGATGAGGGGTGCGGCATCATTGCCACATTCAGTAGTCACTGCTTCGAGTGTGATGTCACAGCTAGCTATAATACAAATTAATTGTTTATAGCTTACCTACCAATTGTTTTCAAGTAAGTATTGATGCTATAGGAAAAAAAGAAAGAAAAGAAGAATTTATTTCTCTGATCCGATCAAAACACACTTTACACATTTGTAAGTCAGCATTGAATCAGAGGGGAAAGTAAAAGGGCTATTCGGTCACCGGTATGTGTCCAAAAGACTCTGAACATTTCTGTGAAAATTTCTGCGAGACAACGGAATTTTTACGAGGACTCAACATTTTTCAGGAAAAAAATCTCGCAAACGGTTCTTTCGACTGAAGCTTTCATCTCAGTTTTGATAGATTAGTTTTCGAGAAAAAACAAAGTTTCGAAAAAACGGTCAAGTTCAACACTTTTTGAGAACAATAATATTTTTCTAAAAAAAATTGGACGTAGCCAATTTTAAAAGTAGGCTTTCAACAACCTGCTGTTTCGATTAAACGCTTGCTACCAGATTTTGCCGGTTAGTAATAGAGAAAAGGCAGAAAACTCCAAAAAACGGTCAACATATCAGAAGTTTGAATTTTCCGAGAATCGAAGCTTTTTCCGTAAAAAACTTGGAAGTAGCGACTTATGCAGGAAAAAAATCACGCAACCTGTTATTTCGACTGAACTCAAAATTTATGATTTAGGAAGGTAGTTTTCGAGAAATTTCAAAATTAAAAAAAAACGGTCAAAAAATTAACAATTTGACTTTTCGATGGCGATAACTTTTAATGTGAAAAATTTGGACATAATTGCTTGCACAGAAAAGCTTTCTCAGTCCCCTTCTTTCGATTTAACCCAATATTACAATTACGAGAGGGTAGTCTTCGAGAAAAAAAAACAAAAGATTCGAAAAACTTAGGCGTAGCTGCTAAAGCAGAGAACCTTCCCACCACCCATTGTTGTTGTTGTTAGTTGCCCATAGAGGGCGCGTCATGCGAGCTTGGCCCGAGTTTAAGAAACATTGCTACTTCGACCGGAGGTAGCCACAGGTCTTTTGGAATCAATTCAGTTGGGTTTGTGGGACAAAAAAAAGGTGGAGATTAGTATGGGGAGACGGACATTGTGGACAGTTCGGGGGGACATTGGGGTCTATTCTATTAAGATATGTATTTAAAAAGGGGGTGTAGCCGGATCTGAGCTATGCTAACGTGCTCCTTCTAGAACTGGGGAATCAGTTCCTCGGTCGTGGAGATATCGAGTGGGCGCAGCGGGAGAACTTTGGGAGTCGGCGCGTCATTGATTGCATTTGTTACGTGTTTTCTGTGGATTCTTTTTAAAAGTTTTAAAATTATTTAAAACGAAGTTGCTACGGTCCATGTTGTCGTTAAATGGGGTAAAATTGCTTGTTTCAGAGATTACTTTGTCAACTTCTTCTTTAAAAATTGATTTAAAGTTAGGTTTGATTTGTCTGGGAGGGGAGGGGAACCTATGATAGAAATGAAGGGGATGGAAGTGAAGGTATGATTTCAGAAAAAAAACTGGGTGGATAGAAGTTTATGGTACTGTTGCACAGACAAAACTTTGCATTCAGTGTGAAGGTGGTCTAAGGGGCTCATCTTCGTGGTGCACCCTGTCACACATGGAGAGCTGCGTTTTGAACGACTTTTAATTTGTTCAGGGAGGAATTGCTTGCAGCGTGGGACCAAACTGGGCAGGGAGAGTCGAGCATTGGTCTGACCAGAGATTCGAAGATTACAAACAATATTTCTTCTGATGGTCCACAGTTTTTTCTGGAGAGAGCCTTCAGGATCGATATCCTGCGCGCGGCTTTCATGGCAGTTTGCTAACATTGCCCCGCAATGTTGAGGGACGGGCCAAAAAACACTCCAAGTATTCTGGGATTTTTCGACTGGGAGAACCAAAGAATCCATTAAACCAGTTGGTTTGGAGTTGAATTCTTTGTTGTGGGAGCTGAACGGGCTCACTGATCCGTTCGAGGAGGAGAAAATTTGGTGTCTGTTAGTAAAAAAAACTCATGGAGCTCGTTTAAGTAATTTATTAAAATGCCAGACGCCTCCACGATATTACTCAATTGAACAAAAGCGTGAAAATTGTCTGAGTAAGATTGAAGTTTTACTTCGAGTGGCCTTGGTGGCGCATCATATACGTAAAACTTTAAAAGAGTGGGGGAAAGTACTGAACCTTGAGGAACCCATGTACGGACAATCCTGGCTGTCGATAGTTATTTTCTGAATAGGGTCCTGGCTTTTGGCGCCCGTTAAGGTAAATTGAGACCATCTGACTATCCTACTGAGGCAATCTGACTATCCTTTAAGATAATTTATCCACGAGGGTTAGGACCAACATACGAGCTGTACAGCTCATCACGGCGAACCGCTGTTGTGCCCCTGCTTAAGAACTACATGCATTCAGGTAAGCAAGAGATGTGCAGTAGTTTGACTAAACTTCGGTGGCGTACCAATCGAAGGCTTTCGACAAGCCAAGAGTGGCTAGTACTGTTCGTTTTGGGGTCTCTTTTGGTTAACACCATCCGATAGAAATAATTCTATTGTAGATATCCTTGTGGGGTTTGGGCAGAGGAACAACTTAAGACTTTTTCCAGACATTTGGAATTACACTTTAAGCGAGGGAGAGATTCAAAGTATGACTGAAAAACCTGGTTTAACTTGATTTTCTAGGCTAAATTTATAGATTTTTTGCTTGGTTTTCTCCTTGTTTGATCGATGATTTTTTAGTTGCGTATATTGAATGTTAAAAGTATTCAAAATGTCTTTTGCTGTAAGCATTTTTTCGCCATTCCAATCGATAGGATGGTTTCCTGCCACAGACTTCGCTCCGCTTAAGAAGCGGACCACTTTCCAGAATTTGCTTGACACCGTACGGTGAGGAAGTCTCACCAAAGTTTTTCTTTGCTCTTAGCAGTTAATTTTTGTATTTCGGCGTCAAAACAACTTAGTTTTGGGTTAAAACGATCCTTTAATCGAATTTAGTCTCTCTCCGCTGCCAGTAATTTAGCTTCTGGAGGGAGAGCAGGTAGATAGAAACGACGACGTCCGGCGGTAATGTGGTGACGAGCAGCCACTAAAATCTTGTCACGTAATTTTGTTTCTCCGCGGTGACTACATGGGTCGACAGGGGCAGTGATTCTAGCACTTGTTCAATTTCTTTGCTAAAATTTGGACAGTCGGCTTATTCAAAATTAATGCAGGTCTTTCAAAGAGAGAAAGAGATTTGATCGTTCAAAGGAAATTGGACTAACATAGGAAGATGATCGGATTCTAAAGTTAAAAGAGTTTGCTAACTCGAAGACAGTAAAAGCAAAGGGGATGCTAAAGATAGCCCGGCGTCTACAATGAAGTTGTATTGTCGTAAGGAATGGTTTGCGTAAAATCGTTCAATGGGGTAAAACTTGATTGATAATTTCCTCAGTAAAAATTCCACCTCTGTTGCCCTCAGGAATGTTGAAATTCCACAGAGGGGAATGAGCATTTACGTCTCTTAGTAGCAAGCTATTGTCTTCCGTTAGGAACTGTGTGACGAACGGTTCATAGTCAATCGAAGTAGACATTTGAGATTCGGAGACTTTGGTTATTGGCCTTTTCTTTAATGCTCTGAGCCTCCAGAGTTCCGTCTTAGTTGCAGTCTATTTCTTCGTACAGATAAATATGTACTGCTATTAGCACACCTCCACCTTCTTGTATACGGTCTTTTCTAAGTAATGTGTAATCCGGGCCAATGGAGGGATTTCGTATACTTGTTTTCTTGGAAGACTGCAAGGTGGATTTGGTTATCACATAGTAGGGTTATCACACATTAACACTTCGAGTGGCCTTGGTGGCGCATCATATACGTAAAACTTTAAAAGAGTGGGGGAAAGTACTGAACCTTGAGGAACCCATGTACGGACAATCCTGGCTGTCGATAGTTATTTTCTGAATAGGGTCCTGGCTTTTGGCGCCCGTTAAGGTAAATTGAGACCATCTGACTATCCTACTGAGGCAATCTGACTATCCTTTAAGATCATTTATCCACGAGGGTTAGGACCAACATACGAGCTGTACAGCTCATCACGGCGAACCGCTGTTGTGCCCCTGCTTAAGAACTACATGCATTCAGGTAAGCAAGAGATGTGCAGTAGTTTGACTAAACTTCGGTGGCGTACCAATCGAAGGCTTTCGACAAGCCAAGAGTGGCTAGTACTGTTCGTTTTGGGGTCTCTTTTGGTTAACACCATCCGATAGAGTTTAAAAGAGTTTGCTAACTCGAAGACAGTAAAAGCAAAGGGGATGCTAAAGATAGCCCGGCGTCTACAATGAAGTTGTATTGTCGTAAGGAATGGTTTGCGTAAAATCGTTCAATGGGGTAAAACTTGATTGATAATTTCCTCAGTAAAAATTCCACCTCTGTTGCCCTCAGGAATGTTGAAATTCCACAGAGGGGAATGAGCATTTACGTCTCTTAGTAGCAAGCTATTGTCTTCCGTTAGGAACTGTGTGACGAACGGTTCATAGTCAATCGAAGTAGACATTTGAGATTCGGAGACTTTGGTTATTGGCCTTTTCTTTAATGCTCTGAGCCTCCAGAGTTCCGTCTTAGTTGCAGTCTATTTCTTCGTACAGATAAATATGTACTGCTATTAGCACACCTCCACCTTCTTGTATACGGTCTTTTCTAAGTAATGTGTAATCCGGGCCAATGGAGGGATTTCGTATACTTGTTTTCTTGGAAGACTGCAAGGTGGATTTGGTTATCACATAGTAGGGTTATCACACATTAACACTTCGAGTGGCCTTGGTGGCGCATCATATACGTAAAACTTTAAAAGAGTGGGGGAAAGTACTGAACCTTGAGGAACCCATGTACGGACAATCCTGGCTGTCGATAGTTATTTTCTGAATAGGGTCCTGGCTTTTGGCGCCCGTTAAGGTAAATTGAGACCATCTGACTATCCTACTGAGGCAATCTGACTATCCTTTAAGATCATTTATCCACGAGGGTTAGGACCAACATACGAGCTGTACAGCTCATCACGGCGAACCGCTGTTGTGCCCCTGCTTAAGAACTACATGCATTCAGGTAAGCAAGAGATGTGCAGTAGTTTGACTAAACTTCGGTGGCGTACCAATCGAAGGCTTTCGACAAGCCAAGAGTGGCTAGTACTGTTCGTTTTGGGGTCTCTTTTGGTTAACACCATCCGATAGAGTTTAAAAGAGTTTGCTAACTCGAAGACAGTAAAAGCAAAGGGGATGCTAAAGATAGCCCGGCGTCTACAATGAAGTTGTATTGTCGTAAGGAATGGTTTGCGTAAAATCGTTCAATGGGGTAAAACTTGATTGATAATTTCCTCAGTAAAAATTCCACCTCTGTTGCCCTCAGGAATGTTGAAATTCCACAGAGGGGAATGAGCATTTACGTCTCTTAGTAGCAAGCTATTGTCTTCCGTTAGGAACTGTGTGACGAACGGTTCATAGTCAATCGAAGTAGACATTTGAGATTCGGAGACTTTGGTTATTGGCCTTTTCTTTAATGCTCTGAGCCTCCAGAGTTCCGTCTTAGTTGCAGTCTATTTCTTCGTACAGATAAATATGTACTGCTATTAGCACACCTCCACCTTCTTGTATACGGTCTTTTCTAAGTAATGTGTAATCCGGGCCAATGGAGGGATTTCGTATACTTGTTTTCTTGGAAGACTGCAAGGTGGATTTGGTTATCACATAGTAGGGCTGCAATTTCAGGGGCTTTGCCGGAAATACCATTGCAATTTAATTGTAGTATATTTAAAGAAATACCATTGCAATTTAATTGTAGTATATTTAAAGATTTTAAGAGGTTCGAGTCAAAAGAATTTTTGCAGCGCGGAGGTGGGTTGGAATTGGAACTAGAATTTACCTGTGGGGTGCTTGAGACGCGATGTGAAAGTGGGACGTTACCACACACTTGCTTAGTTTTGTTTGATGACTTGGTTACATGGGGACCAGTAAAATGAGCCAGGATTGGCTTGAATGCCGGAACAGAGTAGCAATAGTAGGATTAAAAGACGAAGCAGCCTGACCGGCTTCAGACGCTCCGAACATAAAAACCCAGGCTTTGCAAGCAATCTGCGCTCCCCAGATTTGGGAGTAGTTTTCGAGAAAAGTCAAGAAGCCGTTTAGGCAGGGAAGCTTCCCACAACCCGTTCTACCCATGGATTTGAAAAATTTAGATTTGGGGAGCAATTTTTAAGAAAACGAAAAAAAACTTCAAATATGGGTCAAATATTCCCCCAAAACATTTGCGAAGATTGTAGACAGCGGGGCTGAAGTAAAAAGAGACTAGGTGATTATTCGGGCACAGGGAAGTAAGCAATTTTTTCATTGGTATTTTATTGAAAATCAGTAGGATAGTTTTTGAAAAAACTTTGAAAATTTTTTAAAAAATAGCAACGGAACAAGAATAAGGAAGCGGAAAAACAGCCGACAATCTTTGAGCAGAGTCCAGATGAGCATAAAAAAACTTCTTAAATTACGTTTACCCCACAAATGCACTGAACAGCACATGAAACTACCATGATACTTGCTTACAACACAAAAACGCTTGATTTGGCACCTAATCCGTCAAAATTTGAGCAGACGAACAAAATTCTGTCAATTCAACTTTTGCCTGATTTTTGTTTCAATTTTACACATACAGAAAAAAAACAAGGTCCTGCAGGGACTCGAACCCCTGACTTTAGGCTGCAAAAATGAGAACGTTACCTCCGAATCCGAGCCAAATGGGAAGAAACGTTTGAGTTGTTAATGTTTAATAATAAAGAAAGGTCAATTTATTGGAAGAAAAGTTGTTTACGGGGAAAAAGTCTTGTTACCGATAACAAGGTTTTTGCTCTCGCAAATATAATAACTCAAACAAAAACAATTTACGCACAGTCAAAAAACGAAGACAGCTGAAACGAAGACATCTAAAACACTGCCGTGGATACAAATTAGGCTAACAATTTTTTCTGCAATAGTAAGATTGGCTGCAATGCATTGACACTCGTACATCCAAAAAAAATACTATATTGGATAACTGATCTAATTTTCGTTTCATAATTCATGACAGTCGAAGCTGAAGCATCGCAAACACAAGCGAGATGTAGAAGTAGATTCGGGCAAATACAGGAAGTAGATACGGGAAAACCATTCCGGCAAATTTAACATGTAAAAACTAGAGGCCACAACACTAAATTTGCGCTTAAAAAATTGGAAAGAGTAAGGCAAACTTCTTAGAAATTATGCCTTTCAACAATTGCGCAAAAATTTCGCATATTAAGAAGTTTCGCAAAATTATGCATTTCAAAAAATCGCTGAACATTATGCATTTCGAAAATTTCCCGAAAAAAAGTCGCTTTTTCAATTCAACCGAAAAATTAAAAAATTATCAACTGTGTTACATTATTACAAATCAAACGTGAAAGCACATGCTATTTTAGTGCTATTGCAGCTTCCTGATTCAAAAGTGCCACGAAAAGTACGATTTGGAAAGTACCAGCAAAAAATCACTTTTATTTGTCACTTAGCTTGGAAAACAGGAATTTCTCGAGTGAAGGAATTTCAAAAAAGAACTGAGGCTGACCGAAATGGTTTTCCGAGCTATCTCAAAGCTTCAAAAGAAGAACCATATTTGCCATCATTTTCTGAGCCACAATAATTAATTTGAAAAAAGACAGAGTTTTTTCTCACCATCTAAAAGTTATTGACCAAAAAACTAACTCCGCTCTCGCTTAAGGCATTTTTTTGGGGTTGGTCGACCAAAAACAGATGTCGTAAAACAGTACGAAAAGAGGGACCCCTCGAATGCGCTCAAGGGGCAAATCCCGAATTTCCCACTGACTTACAGTATGTTCTGATTAGTTTTCTATAAGTAGTAACATTCAACACCAAGGCGAAGCTGAGCTTTGCATCACTTGCGATACAACAAAACAAGAATGCCGCTAAGTCAGGAAAAAAATCCAAGAACCGAAAAAACTAGATCTATCAAATACAATAGTGGTAGTTTTGAAACAAAACCAGGCCAAGACAATATAATGTTCAATTCGGAAAAACATTTACCACGCGACAAGGTTAATTTTGAAACAAAAACGAGCCAGGACAAAATAATGTGAAACTAGCATCGAAAGAAAAGTTATCAAGCGGTAACAAAGCCGAAAATACCTTAGCAGAAACCATTTAGGCCTAACTTTTTTTCTAAATTATCAAGTTCCCCACACCCTCAAACAAACACAAACTTTATTCACGCGTCAAATGAACAATATGTGGCCACTATGTCGATATGAAATTGATCAAAAACTACAAAGCCAAAAAAAAAATGAAAATAGTAAAAATAAAAACAAAGCGAAAAAAGAAGACTAAAAAAAGTTAATTATTCCCCTCACCCTCTTAACACATACACAGCTCGTGAAACGACGCAATATGAGGCGACTGATCCGATGTAATATATGCCGAAACCTATCAAGCCGAAAAAAAGGAAAAATTAAAATACACAAAAAATCAAAAATTTTTTATTGAGTAATACGAAGTTATTAAGTCCCCTTACCCCTCAAAACACAGACACGCACACACCAACTTTTTTGGCCCATCAAAAAGCACAATAAACCTATGTAACAACTAAACCTATATAAAACAGGCCGAAACTTATCAAGCCGAAACAAAAACAGAAAAAAAAACGAACAAAATTGTTGTCATGAAAAACTTGACGTATAATTTCTATGAAAAGTTCAAGCATTTTGTGCGATCCAGATGTGAGCATAGAAAGTATTTTCCCTTGAGACTACTCAAAATTAAGCCACTAAGTCGATATAAGAAAATGCCGAAACCTAATAAGCCAAAAAAAGGACACAAAAATAAACATTAAACCACAAAACATAAAATAAAATTTTATTACAAGCAAAGCTGAGCTTCGCACCACGTGCGATACACCACAAGAAAACCGAAAAAACAGAAATGTTGAAAAAACTAGATCTATCATAGTGAATACGTCTAGTTTCGAAACAAAAACATCCCAAGACAATAGAATGTGAAACTAGCATCGGGAACATAATTTACCAAGCGGTAACAAATACCTTGGCAGAAACCTTTTGAGCCGAAAAAAAATCAACAAGATTTAAGACTTATGAAAAGTGTCGCTCGCCCCCTCAAAAACAATATTTGCTCGTCAAAGTAAACAATATGAGACAACTAAGCCGATATAATATAGCTAGAAACCTATAAAGCCCAAAAAAAGAAAAATGAAAAAAAAAAGAAAAAAAAGTTAAGACTATTAAGAAGTTATTAAGCGCCCCTCGGCCTCAAATAACGCCACGCGCTCACACACTTTTTCTCTCGTCGAAGGACGCAATACCAGGCCGATAAGCCGATATTATATAGGCCGAAACCTATCAAGCCGAAAAAAAGGGAAAAAAAGCGATACAAAATTGTTGTCATGAAAAATTTGAAAAAAAAAGACCAAAGAAATATCATTTAAAAAAATTCGAACTGCTAATTTACTGGAAAAACACTAATAAGGCTGTACAGTAAGAGTAATAGACCAATGAGCGTAAATATACGCGCATACTGCATGCATGTCGTGTTATTTATGGGAAAAAAGTCTAGTTCCCGATTGCAATAAAGTTGCTTAACGTAAGATTAATAAATAAAAAATAAGGAAGTTTTAAAACCAAGCAAAAATGTTTATTGGTGAAAACTCTTTCAGAAGAAAGTGTGCTTACTTGATCCATCGAGCGAACAGTCACGCGCTCTTTGGTACACTTTGTTCACCTGCATCATCAACTCCGTACTCTGACTCCTCGGCACAGTACAGTCTAGAAGAGTAGTGTCGTCCCAATCACACGCCCCTACAAAGCTTCTTCCTATTGTGACGTCATAGATTGCGTAATCGCGTCTGACGTCACACTCCAAAGAAGTGGAACCGCCAGTCCCGGCACATATAGTTCTGGCATAGAGTATGGGTAACGTTCCAGCGAACAATTTTGGGACCAGGGCCAGAAACAATACCGCAAATAGCAGAAGTTGACATCTAGTAGTCATTTTGTAAACAATCGTTTTCAAATCGTTTTCTTTTTCTATCAGGTTATCGTTTATCTTCAGAGTCAAATTTCCTTTCCGAGAATATGTTTGAAGCTTTGTTGAAGAACAAATTTCCTCAAATCAGAAGGTTAAGACCTTCGGAATGCATCATCAAGAAACAATCAAATCACAAACTAAGCTGAAAATGAAGAATGCATGTTTTACTACAGAAGAATTTTATGGTCACATACACATGACTTGCGATAAAAACAACTAACCGTAAAAAAGCACGTTCAAAAACCTGTTATTTTCAAAGAAGCTGTCCAATGTATTTGTGCCTGTTATTTTTCTTTTACTCGCTTAGCAAAGAATACGCATGGATGATAGAATCTATGAAAATATAACTGATTTCAGAGTTTGCTCACATTTACGTGTTAAAAAAATTTTTAGCAAGAATTGAAGTAGACATCCATTGAGACAAACAGCTAGACAAAGAGCGTGGTTTGATAAAAAAAGATTTGACAAAAGCCTTAAGTTTAAGCGTATTCGGCACTCTTTGTAAATTTGGCAAGATGTACAAAAGTTTTAGTCAAAAATGACTAAGAAAAAAAATTGGTTCAAAGAAATTAAAAAAATTTTAAATTTTTTTTGGCAGATTTGTTTGATTTTTTTTTGAATTCCAAAATGGCACTGAAAAACTTCATGCACTACTTTAACTAATTAAATTTAAATTTTCAGGGCTTGAATAGGCTCATGATTTTTCTTAAAAAGCCAATTATAAACCTGCTCGCTGGCTTTATTCGCTCAAAATTAGACTAAAAATTAATCATGAATTTCAAAATCGGTTAATTTCAAAACACTGAAAAATTGGTTAATTTCAAAACACTGAAAAAAACTTTGGGATTTTTTATTGTCGTTCGAATCGCAACTAAAATAGTTTAAATATGATATATCAATCCACCCTGTCAGATGATTATTTGGGTTGCCTGATTTTGTAAGAAAAAAACTTCAACACAATCGAATACAATGTTCCCTCCCATTTTCAATGGTCGTAAGAAAAAGATGTGCTTATTGCTGAAATTGCTTTCGGCAATGCAGAATACGAAAGTTTAAAAATGAACTGCAAATTTTAGCCTACATAACTTGTAACAAATTTTTCAAGCCAATGAATTTCATTCATTTCTTATTGTGAAACATTAAACCCATTTGAATAATTGGAGCTTCCAAAACTTTTCATAATGCGGAGCTTCAAAAAGTATAACAAGAGCAACCTAGTCCTTCGTATTTTTTTCTAGTCAACAAACTGATAAAGCATAAATGTTTTCCCTGGAAGTATGAAAAAAAAAATTCTTACACAATTCATCGAATCGCAATTGAAAAACAAGTACTTTGATACCAATTTTACTTAAAGCCTATTTGAGAAACAGTTTTTTCAATCAAAGAGAAAAAGACAGCTTTATCCCATTAAAATTGATGGTCGGGCAAAAGTAATTTAAAAAATTGGCGAAACTAATATCGAAGCTCAATCAGCCAAAAACTCGACAGCTAAAAACTCGGCTTCTAGCACAGTTTCAGAGTGGGACCAAACAGCATACCAGTCGCTTAACATACTCAAAACGCTTTTTTTGATCGAAAATAAGTCTCTTAGCTGAGTCTTATTTATTCTAAAAGCGAGTTCGCTTAGCAAATTTTTTGCTTCTGAGTGTGACAAAATGTAAGTGATCACTAACATAGAGGCGAAGTTGCACTTCGCATATACAAGCAAAAATATGACCAAAAACGCTACTGGTAAAAACTGAATGAGTAAAACTTTGAGTCTACAACATTTCTTAAGTGACGCACGCCAATTATGGGTTTACAAAATTGCTAAGTGACAGAAGCCAATTTTGACGCATTAGCAGTACCAGTCAATTTGAAAAAAAAAAGAAATTTACCAACTAACACGCCGCAAGTTATAGAGCGGACGCATTTTGATTGGTATACAAAAAATTTAATTAAAAAAACATCCTACCGAACCCTCTTCTTATTAAGTTGCGGGTCTCCTTCCCTACCTCTACGCTACAGATCCATGATACCTTGACGCTAAAACGCTATTTGTAATATAATTGTCTGAGTTCCTTAGCATTGGCTGTACTTAATAGCTAGTTATTGATCCAAATGAACACATTTTGTCGCAAAAATGTTTGCGACTTAGGTTGGAAAAAAAGAGAGTTCATACTATAACACAAGCTTTGCTTGTGTAAACACAAAGAAAATAGCCACCAGCTGCAGTTCAGAATACATTATCCCAACTGCATTTTTCGCTTTGCCTTAATTCGACAAAATGTTTTGGAAAAAAAACTTTTGCTTTTCAAGTTAAATAACTGGCCAAATTAACTTCCTCCCCTTTAAAACAAGTTATGATCCTCGCACCAGTATCTGATTTGAATTGAAACTGCTTGCGTAGAAATTACGCAATTTTGTTTACCTAAAATTTCAAATATTGAACCAACTAAATAGCTTTCCCCTTAAACTTTAGGATGGAAAAAGATGTTAACTTGGTCCTAAAAAGTAACAAGACTGTTCGTATCAGGGCGAAGCCCTGAATGTTCCGACTGCCTTTTAAGGTTTTATGGAGCAGTAATAACATTAAAAAATTTAATGTAATAAAATAAAATGACATTTTTTTCTTTCTGAAATTTAAATTTTTATGAAAATCATCCCCCCACACGCCATATAAAGTACAAAAGGATAGATTTCGCTCCTGGAACAAATCAATTATCGTAAATAAGCTTCTTTCAACCAATTTGGAACGATTTTAAGACGGATTAACTCTGCGCTTACGCGTTAATAGCGCGAAATATATCGCGCGTCAATTATCCCAAATTGGCCAAAATGGCAATCTTTAAACCCCCATAACTTAACGAAAAATGATCACAGGTAAAATATCTTTTCAAATTTAAGCTCAGGACAACAATACCTTTCGAATGATATAAAAAAGTTCCATCAAAAATGGCTAGTTAAAAAGTCGAAATTTGTCTGAAAAAAAAACCCACCCCGAGCACAAATTATTCCGTCACTTTCGTATCGAAAGTCGGAACAAAAACCTCAAAACAAATGTCGTATGAATTACTTTTTCGGGTAATAAACATCATATTTATTAATAAATACTTTACTAAAGAAGCAGATGGCAGCTTACAGAAGTATCTGTAATTTATAAACACTTACCATCATTTTTCTTTCAAAAATTCTTGAAACTGGGAATAAATAGCCCAATACTCACCAAAAATCTTGTTCAGATTGTTTAAAACCATCTTTCGAACAGTCTTACACAGAATTATTCCCTCCTTCATTAACGGGCCAAAATGATTGTCCGACTTCTTAATCAGTAGCTCTAGACACTCGTTAATTTCTGCTTATTTTTAGTTCAAATTTGCACAACTAAAACTCTCTAATTTTGCAACCAATTTAAAAAAACTTCTCTTTAAACAAAAATGCCAATAACTAAGAAAAAAGGTGCAGTTATGTAACTTACTTTAAATAACCTAGTTTACTTACCGTTGACATCATTGTTTCAAATGAAACTTAAAACAGCAACACATATCGGATCTAATCTAACCGTGCTTCCCTGTTGCATGGCAGCTCCGAGATCTTCCAGTAGAACTAGAACACCATTCTCCAAATGTATTTCTTCAAAAAAGGGCTTTTTTGTTTCGACCATTGAAATATATGGGTCGTTTTTTATATAGAGGGCAAAATCAGAAACCACAAATAATCATCGGAATAGGTCTGTTGACATATAAAATTAATGCCTTTTCAGTAGTGACTCGAAGGAAATCAAAAATTTTCAAAAAACTGTCCCTGTGTCGAGAAAACCCGGTGTGAGTTTAAAGTAATATCGAACGATTGAAAAACCTTCGTTATATGAAAAATGGTTAGTTAGGCTAAAAAAAACTTGATGTTGCATAAGCGTAAACTAGTTTTGGAATCTTCATTTAGCCCTTCCTTGGCAATAAAAATTTTTTGCAATAAAAAGAGCAAAAAAGTAGAATACTTATTTGCCTAATTTTCTAACTTTCTACGTGTGCGTATAGCTCCGTCATCACCGCGCACAAAAAACCACATAAAGTTGAAAAAATTTTTGTTGTTTTTTTAATGAAAGTGGTCGGAACATTCTGTGCTACTTGCACAGCAGCCGGCTATCCTTGGTTTCTTTATTTTATGTACTTGTCTCAAGCGCAAAATCAGGAACCAAAAGTTGTCGGAATGGGTCGAGTGACAGATCATAATAAAGCCTTTTTCAGTTAGTTGCCCCAATGTCGAGAAAAACTGGTTTTAGCTCATTTTCGACAAGTAAATCGAGCGAGCAGGGTTAATATTAAAGTGAAGCCGTAAAACTTTTATTCAAGTTCTGAAAATTTAAGTTCGAGATTTTTTTTTAGCTTTTCTTGTTCCTTTTATAGAATGGTTTGATTTAACAGTTTAAAAGCGTCGTTCTTTGAGACTTAAAAATCGTACCGGGCGAATTCTGCGGAGCTTTAGATCAGAGGTCCTTCCACCAATTATTTGTCAATGTAATACTATGGCTTTCAATCTTGGTCATAATTTGCAACAGCCAATAGTGAAGCCACCGTTTAAAAATGCAATCTTTTCAAAATCTCCTATTTCTTGGGCTGCTCTCATCTACATGATAGCCGACAGATTCCAAAAAGCAAAAAAAAAGACATTAAACTAAACAAAATCCATTATTTGGTCAAAAACAGGAAATTGTGACCCGTTTTTCAGATTCTTGAATAATGAGGAATTGCTAAAATTTAAAAGGAAATTTGGTCCTTTTCAACGGCTCAACTCTTTTGCGTTCTTTCGGTCCCACAATATTGCCTTATCTGCGCCAATCTCTGAAGTCAAAACATGACTCCTTATACTCGACGAAAGGAATTTTGAGAAACGTAAATTAAAGACACTAATACTCGAAATATTTGAAAGAAACAATAAAGAAGAAATCGATAATTTCTACATACAAACTGTACTTCTGAATCATTGATTATGTAAAGTGCTATAGCTGCTAGTACTATGTTATTTAACTGTGCTGTGTTAAGAACTTCAAGCCAGCTCAGACCTCTGAATCTTTCGACGATGCAGTCTTCTTCAAGAAAATAGTTCTCTGGAAGTCCCATCGAAGTTCTGAACATCTGCTTTTTTACACACCAAATTTATCTTTTTCACAATTTTTACCTTGAAAATCAAAACATGCCTCTCATCAATCATTTAAACACATCA